ACCGGAAAACTGACCTTTTCATGCAAATGACAGGCCTCAATTTCGCCCTCTCCAATAAAAAACAAATGTACGAATTTTACATCTTCTTTAATCTTTTGGGTGGCGGGGGTTAATTTTTCGGCGGAAAGATCCGCCCTCAAAAATGTAGCATTTTCGTTCCCAGATGGATCGCTTCCGATTCTCACTTTTCTTGTTGATGAATGTTCAAAGTTGGCATGCTCAAAACTGCAAGTCCGCTATCGTTTCAGACCAGCCAAATTTTAGCGTTAAATTGTACTATCTCTTGGGTGAGGCTAGTTGCCTTTGACTCATGATATCAATCAATAACTAACCAGAGTCTCAGAAAAGCTATGTAGACAATCGGCAGTTGTTTTGTATACCACTCCCTTCTGAAAAGTTGGCGTCTCAGCGGTGCTTCGTCAGTCAGTATGATTATGTTGGCCGGTGCATGAACCTAGAATCGAAATGACGTTCATTCATCAAGGCAATTCTGCTTCCGTTTGACGTTCGTCTAACCATTCACATCTTGGTTATTATTTGTACAACCGGGCCTGTGGTGCGTGAATTCTTTCGGGGATTTCATAATCACACCACGTTACCTAGGTCCGCCTACTTGTCTTCTGAATAGTGTCTTCCTGAGTCCAACATCCCGCTTGAGTTTGTGACTTTGTGTGTCCTGTGACCGGGATGTGACTGCAGTGCGTGTGACAGATCGGATGCACATGTTCGTTACGCAGGTGACATCAGGAATTACCGATGTACTGCGGTATGAAAGTATACGGATTCGTTAACTACGTTCTTGGTCGTTTTTTTGAGCTGGGCTAGAAATGAAGATGCTCCATAACCTGGCATTCGAATAGAGGAATGTTAGGTGATGTTCAATTTCATGCGGACCAGTCGTGGATTTTCGAAGGCGAGGTAAAGCATTCCGGAGAATTGAAATCCTTCTACATAAAAAGAATGATCCTGGGACACGATCTGACCGGAGACCAAACGGTTCATAAATTGTCGACGGGGTTTGAGTTCTACCTTGACAAACATGCACATTTCCTGTAAAATTTATTACATCCAGATCGGTTGTCCTAGTCGACGGGCAATTTTTTTCACCTGGCTCAATCCACCTCCAAAAAACCCCATATTGACACTACTCAATCTCTAACTTGCAGCACGAAAAGCAGAACATCGATTTATCTACTCTCNCGTTTCGGCCAAGATGGCTCAGTTGTTAATGCGCAGATTTACTGACCGGATTGTCCGTGGTTCGAACCCGACCTCTGCCTGTCGACTTCCCCTGTCTAGGCTTGGACAACCTGGCAGTATCCCAGTCGTCATGCTTCCTTCGGATTGCACCGGAATGGTGCTACATTTGAACGATTATCTTTATTATATGTATATGTATACATATAATCAAAACCGTTAACATGTGAATCGTCTGGGAAGTTCCAACAATCCACTCGTCATTGTCGCACCAGAAGCCTAGGCAGCATAACAAGTTCAATGATGAACTGCTATGGGGAAGCCACAGCTGGCTGGGTGCAAAACGTCGTCCATTCAAGCCTGAACTGAAGTTTTTTTCCATTGACTCTATTCAGACATGTCGTTTGCTCGGATTCTCGTGCAGCAGTATTTGATTTGGCAACAGTATGCTCGATTTTCTCCACCAAACCATTGGATGGGATCTGTCTGGTTTGTTAAGAGAAACAATGTGGACTGAAAGAATTGAATAAACCTCCATTTAGTTGTGATTTTGGGCATCTGGCTCATGTATTGTGCACGATCCCCGAAATAGTCTCAGTCTCTTTCGACTAATTCAGTCAGGTTTGTGTATTACATCAACAAATAATTGTACTATCGGTTTCTGCTCTGAATGATATGAGTTTAACTGGTTGATCGTGGTAGAATGCACAAGTCTAAGGGCGAACAAGTCTAAGTCTGAGCTCGAGTTCAGTCAGGAGAACGGGCTGTCGAAAGTAGTGCCCATTATTAATAAAAACTCCAAGTTCGCTTAAAAACACTGACTGTGAGAGGTCCTGCACCGATATGCTTTCGAGGTTGCAAACCGAACAAGAAACGGAGTTTTACTCTTGAAAGAAAAATCCCACTTGTTATCTTTGTTAAGATGTATACACACAAAAATAGATATGTCGTTTTCTGTTGACAACACTCCAGCCGTTTTCCTACACTCTTCTAGGACGCTGAATCTGTCACGTTATCATATAACTTGATCACGTATTGCCAAGTTCCCACGCATTCCTATTTACGTACAAAATTGTCAATGTTCTGACTTGGGGTATCACAGTACTTAGTGCACTCGGGGTGGACAATGTGCAGCACATTCTTTTGAAGAATATAATAAGTAAAAACGAATCAGTATGCAGAGGGGTCTATTTCAACCGGTGGAAACTTGGGGACCGTGCCCACCTGTTGAGCCGCGGTGAAATATCGTACTAACCGAACGGCTTTCTGAAGCGCGTTCAGCGGAAAAACGGGACGGCTTTCTGAAGCGTGTTCAGCGGAAGAAGATCATCTTTGGCGGTCAAAACCAAATTAGTACGCAGTTGTATATCGGCGCACTGTTTCTTCTTGTTTATCCATTTCAAACCGCGGCAGCTATTTTGTACATCGCTCATAGAAATCACGCGACCTCGCTTGAATAGATCCTTACTTGTGTACTTTTGCTTTCCATGCTGACATTTGTACAAGTACATTTCAAAAAGTACACTGCATATACCCCAAAGTTATTGGCTTGGCAAGACGTGCCGGTTGAACATCATTATCAGAACGTGATTAATGTGCGCAAAACGCGTCTCGATATATTCCGCTGTTTCCACACAAATTAATCTTCAGTGTGCTATGTTATTAGCAAGGGACCGTTGACATTTACCTGTTCTGCAACTGAAAAGTTGAGAGCTTTTGTCCGGTGCTTAGGAAATGTTTACGAGTATTATCGAATCGCCAGAAACTGGTCAGATGTACGCCTCGAGAACGAAATAGATCTAAACTTTCTAAGAAAGTCCCATAGGATAATCTGGCCCGTCGGATTGTGGGCGACATGGCTTATGGCCTCGGTGATTTCACTCTGTTCAGCCGGCTGCCGGGATAGTAATGAGGTTATGTATCTGCAACCAAGAAAGAACAAGGGAAACGGTGGTTCCATAAGTGAACTTCTACAAAAGGACAACATTAGGTCACTTATCCTTGGTCATATAGAAAATTCTCGCGGACGACTGGATCAATATTGCTTGTCTTACCATAGTTACTATAAATAGAATCAACTTTGTTGAAAGGCACTATATCTTACTATGGCTTAACGAAAAGATGATATCTCACAGTAAGTTGTTGAATCAGATGTACCGTACAAGCGTCTAGAAAATCTGAATTTGAGATTCTTATACGCTTATTGTGACAATGAGCTGAAGCGGTACTCAAGTTGACTGGTATATCCAGAAAATTAATTGCTGAGAATAACTGTACTAGTAATAACAATGCAATTCCTTGATCTTCCATTCATTACCCCTTGATAACTATTGGCCAGTATGTCTATAAACATCACGTAGTTAGGTATACAGACCTCAAAAACCAAGAGATTCTCACTCGTTTAGTAACCATGCATCTCTTGTGCAGGGCAATGCACTGCAACTGAAAAGTTCAGAGCTTTTGTCCGGTGCTTAGGAAATGTTTACGAGTGTTATCGAATCGCCAGAAACTGGTCAGATGTACGCCTCGAGAACGAAATAGATCTAAACTTTCTAAGAAAGTTGGTTGGATTTCTGTGCTTTAAAGTACTGATGGTTGATCGGATGGTAGTTGATCTGTTCGCCGAGCTTGGCACGCTGCTTGCCAACGTTTCGTCACCGCGCAGTTTGCAAACAAATTGCCAAACTCGGCGAACTGATCAACTACAGTCTGATCAACTACTGATGTCACGGTGATATTACTGAGTAGTAGTAGTGAGTAGTATGTTCTATCATGAATCCGCTTCTCTTGAAAAGTGGGATCTACTGCTAAATTTGCGGAGTCCCTTCGTAGGATTTGCTTGGATTTGAGCAACAGTCAATAAATATCCGGGATAGTTCGAGAGGACGCGTTCCAAGTGAAGATGGATATTCATTTTTTGTAAACAAGATGCATATGCGAGTTTTGCTCCCCTGTCCAATAGTCTGTAACTTTTCAGTTGGCATTTTCTAATAAATAACTCCGCAGCGTAGGCCTTCTTCCATGTCGATGGATTTTCAGCATGCTTATGAGCAGTACATTACACATAAATATGTGTTGTTCTCAGAATTTCGCTTTGCGTCTCTTGAAAAGGGAATTTGTGGAGACGCTTTGTAAAAGTTGCTTGGATTTGAGCAATGAATGATTGGAATCAATGAATATCCAGGAAAGTTCACGAAGACGCGTTCAGTGGATCGACTTAACTCCATGTTATGGGTAAAAAAACAGGATTGGTCGACGTTTACTTCAACCGCTCCTGTTGCCGTAAAATCAAATTTGCCTGACAATATAGCTATGAAAAATCCGTATTGACAAGTGCTTAACAAATTCTAGGACGACTATGGTAGAGGAACATAATTATTCCAGTTTGTCATTCTCATCCAGCCGTTCATCCTTGCCAAATAAACTGTTTTCCCAAGGAGGTTGAGAACAAACTTCTCAGACTTTTCAAATGAACTGAGCCAGACGAACTAGACCCTAGGCTGGACCCAAACACATGTAGGTTGCCCCACCGACCCAACACTTGTTCAGCCATTCTAACACACTAAAATCCCTCGGCCGACACCCAACAAAGATTTAGCTTGACTTAGCTGGTTGGTTATCTTTCCGCCTTAAATCTCGATCAACCTCGGAAACTAGCCATTTGGCCTGACGAAGCTTTTGTGTCAAAAGCGAAACGTTGCCCGGCAATAAATCTACCGATTGTCATCAAACTTTTTCGAAAACGAGATTTTTCAGCCCTTTAGTCACCGCACAATCGGACACGACCCCCAGGTTTTACTAGACAAGTTGGAATAACCAGGGCCAGTGATGTAATACCTAAATTTCCAGTCTTGTTCATTGGCCTTTGAAAATTCGAAGGCCCAGTGAATCGTCTTCAACAAGAAAATGGGTGCAGCGCACACTCAGAACTATTCTACGTGTGCTGTCCGGGACTCAACTGCTGCATTTTTCTGTTTTGTGAGGCTGTTCGCGGACCACCGTGTTTGAGTCACGAACATTGAGACAAAATATCGGGTGACAACTGAAGCCTCTATCTCAGAGAAATATCCCATAGAAAAATGCGTCTTGTCAGTGTGCATCAGAGGCAGAATGCTTCAAATTGAGCTGAATACGATAGCAGCGGGAGACGTCACTCAATTTTGTTGTCCTGATTACGACAAATGTATTGACGAGAACATGTAGTAAGCGCAGGCGTCATTCGCACCTGATTGGCTGCCATTAAATTAAACCGTGCTATCAGTGTGACGCAGCATATTACTGATGAAAATTACGAGTAGTGTCTGGTCCAGTTTCAAATCTCCATCTCCGCACCTAATGGAAGGTTGATATGGAAATTATGATACCGCTCTGCAGTTCCTGAACTGCTGGTTGGTTCGACATCCGAAAGCGGAGGGGAAGGGTAAATCCATCCGTTGGTTATCTAAGAGGTTCCAGGAATTAGTGATCCACCAAGTAAACGTATTGCCGCGTCGTCTCACGTCGCCGCACTGTATCTATCAAGTGCACCTAACTGTTGCAGTCATCACATTCTAGTAAGACAGACATTTGTTAGTGCTTGTTGCCTTCTGATAATCAAACTAATTGCGTCACAACTAGAGCACCAACAGAATAAAGGGATAGCATGTTGACGCCGTTTGAAGGGAGGAAAGGCCATTCTTAGTAGGCCCGGTGGTTCCCGCATCAAGACCCTGAAGAGAAATGGCCTCTTGTAATGTGCAGCGCAGTGTAGACATTGCGAAATCACTTGCGATCCATTGATCTGGGTGTTGCTGTTCCGGCAGCCACCTCAAACAAGGAAAGGAACAGAGTTGTATTAGTTTAGATGAATATATTAGTGTAACGGTGGTACTGCTGATGGGGAGGCATGCTAATAGTATGTGTTGTTCTCAGAATTTCGCTTTGCGTCTCTTGATAAGGGAGATCTGTTGCCGAATTTGTGGAGGCGCGTTGTAAAATTTGCTTGGATTTGAGCAATGAATGATTGGAATCAACGAATATCCAGGAAAGTTCACGAAGACGCGTTCAGGAGAAGATGGATGTCCAGTTTTTGTAAATAAGATGTAAATGAGAGTTTTGCTTCACTGTCCAGTAGTCTGTAACCGGTCAGTAGGCACTTTCTAATAAATAGCTCCGCCTCGAAGGCCTTCTTTCTTTCGCTAGTTGACACTAGACAAAATTCTTGATTGATCCAGCCAAGACTCCCATCTGAAGTATCACCACAGAGCTTTGTGTAATGCTTCAAAGAATATCGTGCGTAGAACTACGAGACGTTGTCAGAACAACGGAATCTGATCCGTTGTCTTTCGTACGAACCACTCCATACAATGCAGCTCATTGGTGACGGGAATACGTCCATCAAAGAACGACGCTATTCATTTCACTTGCAGGCTAGTTTATTCCGATCTAACGAATTGATGGATGGAAGTATCGATTTCAGTGTGTTGAAAATGAAATAAATTCGGTTAAAACAACAAATGCAAACTCGTACTGTATTCACTGGCCGCAACTGATGCACGTTGAAAATCACCCGATCAATTTTTTGGCGTTCGTGATCCAACCCCTCTGGATGTTAAAAGATCACGGACAACCACACAGTTCTGGGAACCCATTTTTCAAAAGTCTACATGAAACCACTGAACTCAACTCAAATAAAAAGTGGTCAGGTCTGGACCCACGTTTCAGAAGCTCAGAGTTACAAGAAATTCAAATTTCTTGCACCTGTGTCGATTCGCATTTTGACTGGACACTGTAAAAAAACGTTTCCATACCGTCTTTTGAAAAAATAATCGACCGAGCAGCTGATTTACGGAAGTAAGGATGAACTCAGTGAGGAAATTGTTGATCCAGCAGAAGCTCTCACGGATCTTTCCCAGGTAATGGCAGCCACTAATACAAATAGTGCACGTGCGAAAAGTTAGGCCCCGCCACTTATTGCCACCTCCAATTTAATGTACGCACACAAACTTGACCTATTTTTGATGAAAACAATTCCTTATCCGCATCTAGACTCATTTTGTGCAAAACTTTTCTCCGTCTGGGCGTAAAACCTTAAATGAACTTTCTGACGCTTTCAACTGGGATGGGGTTTAGGACGTAATTCTATTCATTTATTGCTGGTCAAAAAATTTGGCAAAAATCAAATTCGCTCAAAGACGGCCTCTACCAGACGATCGCTGTTGACTGGAATAACTCTCTTCGCGAAGTTTGCGCCTCACAGCTTTTGCAGAATCCAACAGTTATCGGCGGCCCAGGTTTACACGTCGAGATCGATGAAACGCTGATATCTCCGTAAAAACTACGCAAGTTGAGTCCTTCCCCAAAAGTAGATTTTAGGAGGGGTCTGCCGATCTGCAGTGCCAGATCGAACTGTGGTCACTTTGATGGACACAATCCAGGCCTGTATCGCTCCCGGCTCAATCATCATCTCCAATATCAAGGAACTGAGAGGATGAGTTATACTCATGAAACGGTTAATCAAACCGAAAACTTTGTGGATCCAACGACTGTACCTCACACACAAACCATCGAATCTCTTTGGCACGTCTACAAGATGCAGCATAAGCACCAATGCGGCACACACCGATCTTTAGTAGACAGCTACTTGTGTGAGTTCGTTTGGAGGCAAAGGTACCGGAAAACTGAACTTCTCATGCAAATTGTTAATGACAGGCCTCAATTCCACCCTCTTCATTAAAAATAAAAGTACGAATTTTACATCCTCTTCAATGTAATCTTTTTTGGGTGGCGGGGGTAAATTTTTCGGCGGAAAGACCCGCCCTCAAAAATGTGGCATTTTCGTTCCCAGATGGATCGCTTCCGATTCTCACTTTTCTTGTTGATGGGTGTTCAAATTTGGCATGTTCAAAACTGCAAGTCCACTATTGTTTCAGACCAGCCAAAT